CTGACCAGAACTTCAACAGGACCAGAAAAGAAACTCTCCATGGCACATCATAGTAGAAACACTACACGTACAAAACAAAGAAACAGTTCTGAAAGTTGCAAAAGAGAAACAAAACAAGTCACATAAAGGAAAACCCATTAGGATTACAGCTGATTTTGCAGTGCAAACTATGAAAGCCAGAAGAGCCTGGACCAAAGTATTCTCCGCTCTAAATCTCCACAGATGCCAACCCAGATTACTTTACCCAACCACAATGTCTGTCACAGTTGAACGGGAAAGAAAAATGTTCCATGACATAAATATGCTGAAAGAATACAGGTTCACAAAACCAGACCTCTCAGAGAGTTCTTGAAGCAATACAAAGAGCTGAAGAAAAGAACAAGTATATACCACTATGTAGACCAGGCTGGCCTCCAACTTACAAAGATCTGCCTGCCTTTGCCTCCCCAGTGCTGGGATTAAAGGCGTGCGCCACCACGCCCGGCATTATAAAGGACTATTCTAAAAACCTATGCTCTACTAAATTTGAAAAATCTAAAAGCAATGGATGGATATCTAAAATCATGGGAACCACCAAAGTTAAACCAAGAAGATATCAACAGTTTAAACAAACCAGGAAGATATCAACAATTTAAACAGACCCATAAGATATAAAGAAATTGAAACAGTAATACAAAGCCTCCCAACTAAAAAAAAGCCCAGGCCCAGATGGATTTACAGCAGAATTGTACCAGACATTTAAAGAAGATCTACATCCAATACTACTTAATTTATTAAAAAAGATAGAAATGGAGAACTTCCAAATTCCTTCTATGAAGCCAGCATCACTCTAATACCAAAGCCAGGTAAAGATACAACCAAAAAAAGAAAACTTTAGACTCATATCCTTAATGAACATAGATGCAAAAATTCCCAACAAGATACTTGCAAACCGCATACAGACACACATCAAAAAAATCATCCACCATGATCAAGTCGGCTTTATCCCAGAGATGTAAGGATGGTTCAATATATGTAAGTCAATGAACATCATAAATCATATAAATGGGCTCAAAGACCAGAACCACATGGTCATCTCAATAGATACAGAGAAGGCCTTTGACAAAATTCAACATGCATTTATGTTCAAAGCCCTAGAGGGGATTGGACTGGAGGGAACATACCTCAACATAATTAAAGCCATATACAACAAACCCACAGCCAGAATC